AAATAAATAAATAAATAAAAAGTGCCTTACGTTATTCATCATAACCCAGGTTTTACTTGTTCTATCAACACAATTTAAAAACTAGTTTAAGTTTTGTACTTTTGAGACAAATTGAAGCAGATTCTTAAAGAGGGCGCATGTGTCCTGTGAGCAGGGAATGACAGGACACGCAGGCATCCAGGGACTCCAGGAGGGGTAATCATCTTTTTAATTATCAGATAATGCCAGAATTAATCGTGAGTCTTTTTTTTTTTTTTTTTTTGCCCAACCCTATTCTAAAAGTGGTATCATCTCACTGGACTGCAGCTGCTGGAGTTCAGTTTGTGGCTCGAAATTGGGAGAACTGGTTTCCAAACACCCGGAGAATTTGTCGCTTTGAAACTTTTGAACATGTTTAAAAGACTTCAACCTCTGAAACTCGTGCAAGTAAACTGAGAAACCCCACAAATGTTTGCAGACATTCTGCCTCATGAGCATTTACAAAGTAGTCTCCATCACTCCCAGCCCAGTGAGACGACCATCAGGGTCCTAAAGGCATCTGAATGTTTTACCAGCTTTGACCTCCGTCAGTGATGCCATACTGATGTTCAGTAAGGTCACAATGGAAGCTAGTCTGCTTTTTCTACTCTTCTTTTTTTAATAATGTATATCTAATGTTGTTTTGTTCATGTGCAGTTACCTCTACAATAAAACTCTAACCTTTTTACCTCTGAGGTTTGTCTGCAGTTTCATTCTCACCTGGAGTTAAACAGTGACAGAACGCAGTTTGTCACGAGACGACTGTCAGCTGAAGACTCTGCTGTAATGTACAGCAGGTGGTGATTCATCTATGACAAACACACAACCTCTCAGTTACACAAACAACAAACACATGACTACTTTTCACAATTGCACTGATTAAAACAGGATTTCAACCTTTATTGTAAAACAACAGACTTTAGCACCGGTCCTGTTTGAGAAACTATCCTGGTGTTTTGTTTTGAAAGCATGAGAGTCCTAAAAGAAGGCAGGAAAGAACAAACAAGAAGGGAACAAATCAATCTGAAGCCTCCAGCGTTCACGAGTAACTTTTGTCAGCATTGTCACACTAAAAAACAAAAAGTCAGGCATTTTTCTGCTGAGCGAAGAGTTCTGGTTGTTTTGGTAAAACCTTGTGAATGATATGTGCAGTTTTATCAAATATCCTGTGTCAGTGTTAGTATATACACTAAATGGGGGAGTCCAGGTAACTTGCAGAAAAAAGCTCATTTCGACTGCATGGATCCTTGATCTTATTCTGTCAGTCGCTACCCAGATTTCATGGCCATTAATGAGGGTAGGAAGTGACATCTTCACCGCAACATTAATGTGTCGTATCAGTAAAATATTTCCTAAATCCACCAGATGGGTTTCAATGAAACTCTTTAACTTAGATGTTAGAACAGCTCAGAAACATTGTCCAACACAAAATGTCTCTAACTCAGCTGGTTTCACAGATACTGGCTCTGTTGTCCACCACAGCTAGCTTAGAGACAGGGTTCAGTTCTCCAGGAGAGACTTGGAGTAGAGCTGCTGCTCCACATCCAGAGGAGCCAGTTGGGATGGTTCATCTGGTGAGGATGCCTCCTGGACGCCTCCCTAAAGGAGGTGCTTCAGGTATGTCCGACTGGGAGGAGACCCAAAGGAAGATCCAGGACATTGATGGAGAGGTTTTGTCTCTGGTTTGGTCGAACACCCAGAAGAGCTGGAAGAGGTTGTAAGAAACGTGTTAGAGGTGAGACACAAACCAGGAAACAAATTCAGATTTAGACTTGAAGCTTTAATTGGGAAGAACAAACCTTCAGCTGGATGAAAATACAGACCTGTGTTAGTCTCTGTATATTTTTATAAAGAATCATGAACAGCAGCACGCAATTATCCATAATCTTCTAGGTCTAGCCACTCCTCAGGGGTAAAACATCACATCTTGAGAGGGCCTTCAATAGTGACTAGACCCATTTCACAACAGTCTACTCTCTAATGAGAAATAATTAATTATCGGTCCGTTGTATGGTGATAAGGCACGTGTTAACTAATCCTGTCTTTTTAAGAGTGTACCCTGTTTGGAAGGAGGTCCTTCCAGAGTGCACATCAATTAATCTTAGTTTCATCATGGCACATAACTATAGGTAATTATGCAACAACAAAAATGTGTAGTGCATTAAAGGGATCCACGATTAGTTGTAACATTAGACTTTATTTGATAAACATTTATTTTCACTGTAAAATAAAGACTAAAAATACTGTAGGATGTTTAGTTTTGTAAATTTTTTAAAATATATTTTAACACGGACGGAGCCATTTTATTTACACGCAAAGCATTCTGGGTAATTGATTACATCAACTAGGTCATCGGTGCGAGGCTGCTAGCGAGCTGTATCCACCCTGAAGGTTAATCTTGGACAATATCTGATGATCGACTCTTTTAAATGAAACCAGAGAGCGTTGACAGAGAGGAGAAGGTAGAAATGACTCAGCCTGTAACTGAAAATATGGATGGAGGACAACAGTTTAGCTTGTTTGTCACGATCTCACCGAGCTAATACATATAAGGCAGTATAGCATCAGTGCTAGCACAAAGGCTAACAGGCTAAGCTGAGGTTCTTCTGCCGTGAAGCAGCTCTGTTGTCCTCCATCCATATTTTCAGTTACAGGCTGAGTCATTTCTACCTTCTCCTCTCTGTCAACGCTCTCTGGTTTCATTTAAAAGAGTCGATCATCAGATATTACCCAAGATTAACCTTCAGGGTGAATAAAGCTCTCTAGCAGCCTCGCACTGATGACTTAAGTCATCA